TCAGGTCTCAGCTTAAGCATTACTTCTCTGAGAGGCCTTCCTGACCTCCCCACGCAAAGTAACTGCAATCCTACTCACTATGTAGTTTAATTTTTTTTTTCCTTGCATTTGTCACTCTAGGCCACATGTTTTAATTATGTATGTTCCATCTTCTCATACTAGAATGTCAGTTCCATGAAAAGGGACCCCAGCCCAGCTCTATCTTGTTTACCATATCATGTGTCACCAGAACTTTTAAAAAGGCTCTTCAAAAATATTATCATTCTTTTTTCAGACATCTTCCAAGCGTACAGTGTGGGAGGGGGTATGGGAGGAGGAGATGGGCTTGATCTTAATACTCACGACTGATGACACCCTGGTACTGACAGATCAGCTGTCATGAGACTGATTTTCCAGCTGCTGTGGGTCCAGTGATACATCACATCACCTGACTTTCACAATATTTCAAAATACATGTCACTCAGCTATTTAAACTTGTTCACCAACTTTATTAGTCCTTCCTACTAACCCACATCACACATGACCACCAAGTGGCAGTGACTTCTGAGAGGGCAACACTGAAAAAAGGGAGCAGGGACTACGTGACATCCAGAGAAGAGCTGTGATTATTCTCATAAACTCAAAAGTGAATTTCAAATACAACAGGCATTAAGAATCCTTGATTAATGAGCAACAAGTCTTGAGTAACAGCCTAAGTTGAGCTGGCAGTATTAAAATTGAGTCACTAAAAGGATGGCTCTCAACCTTTTTAGGGTCATGGCACAATTTCAAATATCAGGAATTTGAGAAAACAGTTGAAGAGATTAAGCCTCAAGAAACCACTATGTTAGCAATAAATGCAACATAATTATATAGCATATAACAAACCCTTGCATTGCCTGTGAAGATCTCACAGTTGTGACTCACCCTAACCGTCACCCTTGGCCACTCCTATTATGCTCGAAGGGAACAGGTGATGCCCTGGGAGTGCTCCAGGACATAACCCCAAAGCTGCCTGGACATTTTTCTTTTGTGAGAGTTTGATTTATGTTAAACCATCTCACTTATAGTGAATTGTTTCTAATCTGCACTGTGTTCCTCAGACAACTCAGGTCAAGTTCTGACAGACCTTGCCTGTTGGCAGAATACTCAGTGTTGGGAAAATAAATTGCATTTGACTGGACTTGGGCAACCGATTTCCCAGTGGAACAGAGTGCCTGACACACTAGCTTCAAGTAAAGCTGAAGCCTTACTTCCCATGAGACATGCGTGTTCTGCAGTCCTCAAGCACACTGCGTTTGGGGTGAGTAGAGGGCCTGACTGAAGTTCAATAATTTGTATATAAAGGTAAGAATAGGGTTTTAAAAAAGAAATTGAAGCAAAATTATAAAAGGTCTTAAGTGATATTAACAGGTGTCAAACAGGTACAAAGAAGACACTAATTAATTAATTTTTAAATATATCTTTATTGATTTCAGAGAGAGGGAGAGAGAGAGAGAGAGAGAGAAACATCAGTGATGAGAGTCATTGATCAGCTGCCTCCTGCACTCTCCCAACTAAGGGTTGAACCTGCAACCCGGGCATGTGCCCTGACCGGGAATCAAACCCCGATCGCCTGGATCCTAGGTCAATGCTCAACCACTGAGCCACGCCCGGCCGGGTGAAGCCACTAATTTATTAATGAATTTATTTATTCAACAAATATTTATTGAGCGTCTTCTGTTTGTCAGGTTGATTCCTAACTGAGAGATGGAAAGAGGATACTGCAAAAGCAAAGTTCCTTCACTGAACTTCCTTTCCAGTGGGAGACAAATAATAACCATAAAAATAAACAAACAAACCAACAAGTAAATATACAGCCAGTCAGGACTGGAGATAAGAGCAAGGGCAGGGAAACAGAGAGTATGGGGGAGGGTGTAGCTGTGATACACAGTGTGGTCTGGGAATGACTCATGGCCAGGGCGGCATTTGAGAAGGGACCTGAAGGAAGTAAAGCTGAGAAAACCTGGGCTGTGGTTTCCTCAGGGAAGATTGTTACAGGCAGAGGCAGCAGCAAGTGCAAAGGCCCTGAGGCAGGAGCACATTTGAGTCATCCATGGCCAGTGGTTGGAGGAAGATGTTTGAGTGGTAGGAGAAGAAGTCAGGAGGGGATGTTGGGAAGTGGAGAGACACAGGCAAGATCAGATCCACCTCTTTAAAGACCTTGGCCTCTACTCTGAATGCTATGAGGAGCTAATGGAGGGCTCTCACCAGGAGCGACATACTGCAGTGTTTATTTTCAGGTGACAGCTCTGGGAGGACGCAAACAAGGAGTCAGGGAGGGATAATGGTGGCTTCTGAACCAGGGTGGAATCTGTGGAAGAGGTGAGAAGTGATTAATTTCTACATATGTTCTGAAGTAAAGCAGAAATCATTTGATAATGGATTACATACGGTATGGGAAAGAAAGGTGAAAGTTGAAGGTGACTCTAAGGCCTTTAGCCTGGGAACTGGAAAACCAGCATTCCCATGATTGGCATGAAGAATATAAGAGGACTAGGTTTGGAATAAAAAATAAGGATTTTAATTTTGGGAAATAAGCGATTAGTGTCCTGTGCTGTCAAAATCAGCCATCACTAACCATCTATGGGTATTTAAATTTACATTTTAATTAATGAAAGTTACATAAAATTAAAAATTCAGTTTCTCAGTTATACTCACTCTACTTCAAGTGCTCAGTACCCACTTGTGTGTGGCTCCTGCCACTGGCTTGGACAGTGCGGATGTCACAGAGCTGTCCTGTCATCGCAGGGAGCCTGCTGGGCAGTACTGGAGAGATACAAAGCTCTTACTGCACGCGGGGCCCTGTGCTAAGTGCTTCACATACACTCTCTCATTTAATCTTTGAAACAGCTCTATGAGTCAGGTCATGTTATACCTTTCTACAAAGGATGTGAACAGAGTTGAGAAAAGTTAAGTAACCTGCACTAAGTCACGTAGCTCTTAAAGGGTTAAGTAACCTGCACTAAGTTACACAGTTCTTAAAGAGCCAGAATTGAATTTTGGGACTGTCTACTTCCAAAACCCAAACATGTAAATCATCGCACTTGATTTTAGAAAGGTTAAACTCATTTGAAATTAGACATGACATCCACAGGGAACCATTCAGCAGGTTATTGGCTGCAAATGTTGATGCCCAGGAAAGAACAAGGGAGATCTGGTAGGTCTGGGGCAAAAGGGAGTCTCCCCAGAGATCTGTGTGCTATGGAACTAACCAGGATACGTACCAGTGTACCACCAGGTCAGAGAAAACCAAAATACCCAATAAAGGCTGTAGTTTATATCTTTGCAGAAGGGGTCCATTGACATTAAAGGATTACTAAGCAGAAAGAAGGATTAAATTGACACCAGATAATATAATGTTCAGATATATTTTTCTTCCCCATGATTCTCAACTAGGTATGGTGCCTCCTAGAAGACATCTGGAAATGTTTAGGGTGCTCAGGGTGGACTGATGGGTGCCATGGGCACTTTGTGGCAATGATCTTAGGATGCGGATCCTACAATGCTTGCTACAGCCCAGCACATGAAGAGAACTTCTCACCCACAATGCCAAAGCTGCCCCGCATGACAAACATGGGCCTACAATTCCTTAGGCAATGCCCAGTCCCTGAAGGAGGGTAGAAGTGAAAATGTGGCGGGTGGTGAGTGGCACAGGACTAAAGTCGGAGAGTCTGCACTCCAGTCGGCTGACTTGGGCTCGCTGTGTGGCTGGGGATCGCTCCCTAGGCTCTGAGTTACTTTTCTCAATGGAATCATGCAGAACATGCTAGTGAACACCCATCATATTGGATGGTTCTGAGAATCACAAAACTATAAAACTCTGAAAGTACTTGGCCCGGTCTTTGGTGCCGGGGCAATCACATAAATGTACACTGTTATTAGCAGTGGGACAAGGGACGAAAGAGGAACTCTAGGACGGAGGCAAAAATAACCAAGATGGAAACTGAGATAAAGAACTAGATCTAGAGCAGCATGGTCCCATAAGAAATATTGCAGGTTTGGTTCCAGACCACAATAAAGCGACAGCTTCTTTCCTTAAACCTCCTAAGCCAACCTCTGCTGGCTTCAGACTTTTCTTCTGCAGCCTCACTTCTCTCAGCCTTCACAGAACTGAAGAGTTAGGGACTTGCTCTGGATTAGGCTTTGGCTTTGGCTTAGGGTGTGTTGCAGCTGGTTTGATCTCTGGAGACCACTAAAACTTTCTCCATGTTGGCAATAAGGCTCTTTCACCTTCTTATCATTTGTGTGTTCACTAGAGGAGTACTTCTAATTCCTCCAAGGATGTTTCCTTTGCTTTCACAACTTGGCTGTTTGGTACAAGAGGCCTAGCTTTCAGCCCACCTCAGCTTTCGACATGCCTTCCTCACTAAGCTTAATCATTTCTAGCTTTTGATTTGAAGTGAGACACGTGTGACCCCTTGAACACTTAGGGGCCATTGTAGGGTTATAATTGGCTTAATTTCAATATTTAAGTTACAAAGTGTATGTGGCTATTTTTCTTTCTTTTTTTAATTTTTATTAATTTCAGAGAGAAGAAGGGAGAGGGAGAGATAGAAACATCAGTGATGAGAGAGAATCATTGATTGGCTGCCTCCTACACGTTCCCCACCCGGGACCGAGCCCACAACCCTGGCATGTGCCCCGACTGGAAACTGAACCGCAGCCGCCTGGTCCATAGGTTGATGCTCAATCACTGAGCCAACACCGGCCGGGTGTGGCTATTTTTCTTTAACAACCACCTCTGTGAAAAATTTAAGATTCTTGAGTTGACATAGTTCAAATAGCATACGGCAAGCTTAAGTGATGGGTAGTGTATCTGCCACAGAAGTAGCTCTCTATGTAAATTACTAAAATATAATCCCAATATAGTACCCCCAAGATTACTCCAGAATTTATGCAACTCATTATTATTGAAACTCACTCACTATTATTAAAACTCACTAATTTCCTATAAAGTTGAAAAAAAAGCATGACACTGGTACAGCACAAACACATTTATTTACTAACCAAAGGGTTGATCCTCAGTAAACCAACACTCAGAAATAGTTGCATGTAAAATGTTTGTGATAAAGATAACTGAACACAGTAGTGAAAAAAAAAAAAAGCAGGGAGAGATTTGCTCATTGAACTGAGCTTGTTTATCCTCACGGCTAATTCCTGTCCGGAAGGATGGTGGAAGTTTTACTCTACTTTTTCATAGATCCGAGTACAGTTGACATTGTTCATGACGCATTCCTGACAGAGAGAAGGACATTGAAGAGTTAGGTCAGTCTTGCGTCCCAGGGCAATGGGGGAAGTTAAGTGCTACAATCAGGTTCCCACAAAACCTTGTCATCTCATCGCAGATGAAGAAAATACATGATAGCAGCTGTTATTTTGCTTAAGACACATCTATGTTTTGCTGAAGACTAATGTATTCAATTAGATTTGTAATATCTAAATTATTCATTTGGTCTTGGCAAACAGTATTCCTTAAAGGTTTTTTGTTTTGTTTTTAAATTATTGATTTTAGAAAGAGGGGGAGGGAGGGAGAGAAACATTGATGTGAGAGAAACATTCTATACTCATCCCGACCGGGAATCAAACCCGAGACCTTTTGGTGCATAGGATGATTCTCAACCCACTGAGCCACCTGGCCGGGGAAGTAGTCCTCATTTAAAAGAAATGGAAGAATGTATGCCCCAGAGGGCAGTTTGGTGGCCTGTCCAAAATGCTGCTGCATAGTCACAGCCGGGAATGGACTAAATCCAGCCCAGCGACACCACTGCCACCTCATCTCACTTCTCTGTCCCCACAGAGGCTTTTCAGTTTTCAGGGTTCTAGTGTTCAACTTGCTATTTTGCATTTTTTCTACCCCAGCCTCATTGTCTTGCTCATGATCAGTGATACAGTTATGTGAACTATGAACGCAAACAAGAAGGCCGAGGGGACAGAGTGGGGCACTTACCACCACTAGCTTCCCGCCTTCCAGTCTTCGCGTTATGGTGCTTTCCTTCCCGTCCCACTCCTGATGCTGAACCAGTGCGCCGTTTACAAAGTTGCAGACCGTCTGCAGAAATAAAGTGCACTTTTTAACTTTCCGAAGAACATCATAGGTTTCCATGACTCATAACCTCCTTGATCAACATTTCTTCAACTTTCCCTTTCTGGTCTACTTCAGACCAATTTTATTCATAACATGGTTGAAGTTTCTCAACCTAGACACACGTAGGAGACACTCAAACTCTCATGTTCCTTAAACTATTTTTACAAAATAGACTTGTTGTGAAGCTGGTCCTTTCACACTAATTTGTCAACTCGGTTCATAAAATAACTTGAGATGGTCTTCATTCAGTTCTTGCCTGTAAACGTAAGAATGTTACTCACACAACCTATCATTCTAGAAGCTTCCGCGATTATGTAAGTTACGCCTGACCTGAGTTTTTCTGCCATCGGCTGTAGTCTCTTCAAACTTCTCCCCCAGGTTGCATGAGAACTGTGTGGTCTTCAACGTGCTTTCGGTTTTTATGGTGAGGTTTTTGCCATCAGTAGTGATGACACAGTCTGGCTTGGCCATGGCACCCATTTTCCGCAGAGCCATTCCCACACCTGTGAATGTCAACCGTGTTCAGTGTCAGGGAGACCAGAGTTAGGGCTTACAGCAGGAGAGCAGGGATTCCAGTGTAATTACGTGCTGTGTGTACTTTCACTTACTCACTTACCGAGAACCACAGTAAACACAGAGCCAGTGCTCACCACGTGCTAGCACCCGACTAATACGAGTTTACGGAAGCCTTGAGGCCACCCTGTGAGCAGGGGGATAGCATAGTTTCCATTTTACAGATGACAAAGTCAGTCACTGAAGTCACCTACTCAAGCTCACTCAGCTAGGAAAGGATGAGCCAGGGGTCAACAGTGCAGGCAGTGTGGCTCCAAATCTCAGTTCGTGGCCACCATGCTATGCTGGCCTCCGGGAAGCGAGGGAAGCAACCCACACTTCTGAAGCTGACTTACTCAATTCTGCTGAACACTGTGTGATAGGACTGCAGCACACAGTCCAGCACAGAAAAGGCCCTTGATAAATATTTGATCGATACACTACACAAATAGAAATCGATCCCGAGATACTCAATTAGCACAATGTTTTAAGACGTAAAACAGCACAATCACGATGCTGACAAATTTTAAAAATCTTATCCTGAAAAACTGAATGTATTTCATAGCTCAAAACATTTCATGTAACTCCATTACTATACTGACATCATAACTAACTCATAACCTGTGTATTCACCCTGGGTGTTAACATTTATAAGGGAACTTAGTTTGGGCCAAAGCCCTGTTTCAGACGAAGAGACGACAACCTACACAGAAAAACGGGCCTGGTGAAACCCTGCCAGGCTTGACGCGGCCCCTCGAGCCCTCCCTTCTGTCAGCACAGCTGTTGGTTGAGTAACACTTTATTATCATTTTGGACAAATGCAGGGCTCTGCCCTTCCCACACTTTGACTGTATTCTAGTAAACTGAGCTTGGCAACTCTCATGACTCTAGAACCTTGGAAACAAGCCATGTGATTAACACCTTCGCTTTCAATGGGCAGAGGATGTTTGGTCCTCAGACACCTGAACACACACAAATGGTGTATTTTCAGAGTCATCTTGATCTAGGTTCACAGCAAGTAAAAGCAAACTCCTGCGTTCCTGTTTCACTCCCGGGTCCGCACTACACCCAGGAATCCTCGCAGAAGCAGCCTGAGCCAGGCGCTGTCCTGCAGAAGGTTGGAGTGTTTCTGAATGCCGCGGGGACTAGAGGGTCTTTGTGGTGACTTCTGCACCCAGAGCAGCCCGTCACTAGTGGTGGGAGGGCGGCTTCTAAAGCCCCTCGCCATCCCACGGTGGTCGCAGGGCCGGCAGCCGCCTCGCAGACAGCACCCAGGCCACCCCACTCCATCCCACTTCCTAATGGCCTGTGACAAAGGTCCAGTTTTGTTTGCTCATCTACCCAGTGTCTCAACCAGCATGCAATCCCTGTCATTGGCTTAGGAAGGTCAAGGATGAAGCACTGTTTTGGGGGACAAAGCGCCGCCAGGCCGGTGCGGCCCGGTGGTTGACCAAGGACCGCGCGAACCGAGGCGGCCAGTTCACCTCGCGTCAGGCGCAGGCGGGGTTGCGGGCTCGATGCCCAGCAGGGGGCGCGCAGGAGGCGGCCGACCGACGGATGAGTATCTCCCATCCGTGCTTCTCTCTACCCCTCTCCCTCCCTCTCTCTACAATCAATCAAGGAAAAAGTATAAAAATTAAAAAGAAGTCAAGTGCCTTCTGAAGGGCCGGGCCCATCCTGCGATGCTGACGGGGGGTCGCCGCGGGAGGGCCCCCGGGGTGTGCCGGGGCCCCTCCAACAGCGCCCACTCACCCCCGGCCTCACGTCCAAGATGCAGGGGTCAAGGCCACCCCCCCGCCCCGCACG